TTCCGAATACGAGATTCATTTAAATAAAAGAATGCCGCGTCCGATGTAGGGAAGAAAGAAGTTTGTACATGAGTGCATGGAGAGGAAGCTAGGAAGCACATTGCCAAGTTGCAAAGCTGCAATGGGCCCTGCTCAGCGACCTTCCCCAGCTCCAGGAGGTCCGCTGACCCCTCCAGCACTCTCAGGAAGCTGAGCAGCCGGGTGGCCTCCCCGGTGGAGGCAGCCGGTGGGTTGAGCAAGAGGACAGCTCTCGTGCATCAACAAGTTTGTGCAACTCCCCCGGCCGCAATGGACAGTGGAAACGAAGCTTCTACTTCTCCTCCTGAGAACACTCGGGGCCGAGGGGCCTCTCACAGATACACACGAAGGCCCCGGAGACATAAACATGTAGGTTCCGCTCCAGCTGGAGACCTCGGCTCAGCCACACGGACCCCCTTCCCCAGCTTCCGATGTGGTTCCCGAAATACGAACGAACTCCCGTGTCTGGAGAAGCAGTGGGGTCTGATGGCTCCCCAGGGAGGTGCCTGGTCAGCCGCTCACCTTCCCCAGGGAAAAGGCAATAGTCACAAAGTGTGAGCTCTCGTTTAGAAGGCAGACCCCTTGCCTTCATTCATTCCCTCAGTCATTCACTCGTTCGGTGGCTAATTATGGATCACCTCTTTGAGGCAAGGCTCGGTGCTAGGCTCAGGGTTCATGCGTGAGACGTGTCCCTGTCCCCCCAAGTTTATGCTCCACTTTGAAAGGAAAGTGGGTGGCGTCCGTATCCAGTGGACCCCCGCTCTGTGCCTTGCACCACGCTAGCGGGTCCATACACCTTGTCCTGCGGACCCTCCAGATCTGGGAAGGAAAAGGAATAGCAACACCATGCAGGCGCACAGAGAGATGCAGAAAACTGCAAGATCACACAGCTCCCAAATGTCTTGAACCCCCCTCTTGTTCCAGACTCCAATGCGCATGTCCTGCTCCTGTGGGGCAGGGAAAACTCCCAGGGGTACTCTGAGGGGGGAGCAACTCCCTTTGGCTGGGGATTTCTGGGAGGACAGGGAGACAAGGTGAACTCTAGGTGGGACACTTCACCGGCAGGGGCTGGGCAGGGGTGAGATAAACAGTGCAGAGGTGGGGAGGCTGTCTGCGTGCAGGGGGGACACAGACGTCCCTGTGGTGAGCGGGACTGGAGGCCTTGAGCGGGGACGTCGTCACGGGAGGAGGGTGAGAGCAAAAGGTGATGACCATCGAATGCCGGGAAAGGGAGGGAGTGGGTTCTGTGGGGAACAGGAGGCCGTGGCAGGTGCTGGAGGAGGATGGACACAGGACCTGAGTCCGCCCAATCGTGATGGTGAGCTCATCTCCGGAGGTTCCTGGGCTAGACCTGGGGGTGTCACTCATCAGCTGGGTGACCTAGAGCAAGCGCTTCCACCCTGGGAGCCTGGGTCTCTGCCGGTGAAGTCCAGACACACAGAGTAACTAGGGAGAATCCGTGGGGACCACAGGCAGCAGCCAAGCATCTTTCCCGGCTCCCCGAATACTAGCTCCCCTTCCTCTTTTCCTCCTTCTGGGGCACCCCAAGCATCTCCGGCCCTGAACCTCTGCACTTGGCATTCGCTTTACCTGGTCCTTCTTCCTCTTGGTTTGCTCCCTGGTGTCATGTGGGCGCCTTACAAAGCTCTCTTCCCAGGTGAGGCCCTCCTGTCCCCACTCCGCGCAGCCTCTGCACCCGTACGTGCTTGTGTCTCTAACTTGGCACCTGGAGCCACGCCTCGCACACAGCAGGCACTCCACGGGTTCCGTGGGATAAACAGTGAGTGAATGAATGAGTCAGTGCGTGTCCAGCCGGGGAAGGGACACACCCTAGGCTCTCGGGGAACTTGTAGGCTGCACGGGATCTCGAAGGTCCCATGGGCTGAGCCCTCTCTGGATTCAAGAACACCATCAGCGGATTATGGCCCGAGGGCGACGCCTGGCACATCAGCCGCGCTCACTGTGCCTCCCACTCGCTTCTCTCCATGGAGAGGACTTCACTCATCCCTGAGGCTGCCTTTCCAGCATCCAGACGTCCCCACAATTACACTGAAAGCAGGACAAGGACCTTAGGCAGAAGTGGGCATCTGCGAGTACTGGACCCAGCTGCAAACTGTGGGGCCTACACATGGCACCCCGGCCACGTGACACCGAGTCCCCTTACCTCCTGGACCCTGGACCCTGAGCCCCTGGGACCTGCGGCCAGAGGAGAAACAGGTTTCCTCTGTGTGGGTCAGGAGACCTGCCCAAGCCCCTGCTGCAGGTGTAACATCAGCTCCCAGCCACGTAAATGTGCAAAGTTAGTTATCTACGTGGGGGATATTGCATTTCAGTAAAGCCAGGACTTCACTGATCCACCTTGACCCCTTCGGGTGTCCTGCTGATCTGCCCGGGCCCTCCTAGGTAATGAGCTGACACCCGCCAACACCCCGGCCCTGTCCTGGAAATCCAGTGCTTTCTGCACCCAGGGACCTGCGAGTCCCCTTGAGTATGAGTGCAGCCTCTTGACTGGTCGCCGGGCCAGGGCTGACCCCATCCTGACCCTTGATGGCCTTGCTGGGGGCATCTCTGTCCAAGTTTGGCTCCAACCTCCACACCAGCCCCCTCCCTGGGCCCCAGCGCAGGGACATTTTTAGGGGCATTTTCTCGAACTCCCTGGTTCCTGTCAGTTCCCCAGGGCTGACGGGACATGCTGAAACCTCCAGGCCAGGGCACATGGGCAGCAGCACCCCAGGCCACCCCGTTACCCAACACCAACGGGCAGAGCGGATATTGCAGCCGTGGCCCCAGGCTCCAAATTCAGAGCTTCTCCCTCTGCAGCTCCGCCTGTCAAACCCCGTCCTTCACTGCACGTCCCTCTGTGGTCCCTGCCCACCTGCCGGCGCCTCTGCCATAGGACTCAGGCTTCCTTAGGGCCCACGTGTCTGCCCCTCAAGCCCCCGAAGCCGGCAGTTCTTCCTGCAGGAGCCTCTCATGTGCAGACGTGTCCGAGGCAGCTCTGCTTCCTCCCGCAGGGCTCAGCGAGGACCTCTCCGTAGACAGCCCGTCCCCGGCCACTGGCCACTGTGGGAAGGAGCGCCTGTGAGCCTGCTGTCTCTTCTTAAATACGTCTATGTTTATTAATGTCAGAGAGGAAGGAGAGGGAGAGAGAGAAACATCCATGATGAGAGAGAACCATGGACCGGCTGCCTCCTGTAGGCCCCACACTGGGGGTCGAGCCCACAACCTGGGCATGTGCCCTGACCAAGAATCCAACCCTGGCCTCCTGGTTCATAGGTCAACGCTCAACCCCTGCGCCACCCCTGCAGGAGGGCCCCTCTGTCCTATTAACCATTTCCTGTCCTTCCCGCTGTCACCAACGCCGATAGCTGCTGCATTCCCCTCTTTATCCCACGGCTCCCCCCCAAAAAGTAAACTCCATCCAAGAGAGGCTCTTGCTGTGCACAGCTGCACTCATTGAACAAATGAAGTTCCATTGAACGAATGTTAAATAAGGGACTAAATTTAGTCTAACTCATAGCAGATTCTGGGCGAATGTTTTTGTGTTTTTTGGGGTTTTTTTTAAGTTGCCACAAAGCTGGTGCTTTCTGACTATCAGCTCACGCCTCCTTTCTGCTCTGTGTGAATTTTGGGGAAAAACTCCACTTACGCATCTCTCTGCCAGGCGCTTCCCCTTCTAGGCGAGCGGCCCGCTCCGTCCGTCTTTGGCAACGTTGCCTCTGTACCTTCCCAGGGCGCCCTGCGCATGTTTCTCAAGTTGTCTGAGGAAGCGCCTCTCTAGGACCGAGTGCCTTCTAAATTTAGAAGCGGCCCGATGTTTTCGATTCACCGTCGACAGCTACACTGAGTGAGGTTTCTAAATGACTCTCCCTGGGCGGCCGAGGCGGCCCTGTGGGGCTGGGGCTGCGTGTCAGCCGCCAGAGACACCGGCCGGGTTCCAGGCCAGGCCCAGCTGTGTGACTCTGGGCAAGCCACCCTGCTGTCACCTCCTGTGAAGCAGCCCCCACACGGTCCCCCGGCGTTCCGGCCCAGGCAGCCATTCCCAGGCCGTCCTGCTGGGAGTCAACATCCCGGCAGCTTCCACCTCTGCCACCCACAATCCCTGAGGCCCCAGGTGCCTGCGCTCTCCTGCTTGAGACTCGCCTGTGATGAGTGGGGAGCTGCACATTGCTCCTTTTAGAATATGTTCTTATTGATTTTAGAGAGAAAGGCAGGGAAAGGGAGGGAGACATGTCGATGAGAGAGAGAAACAGTCGGCTGCCTCCTGCACGCCCCCCACTGGGGATCCAGCCTGCAGCCCAGGCCTGTGTCCCGACCCACCGGGAAGCCAACCAGCGGCCTTTCAGGGCGGTGCAGGGGACGATGCTCGACCAGCTGAGCTGCGCTGCCCAGGGCTATCTAGTATCACTTTTTTAAAAATTTAAACCCATCAAAACGTTGAAATGCTACAATGCACACGTGCTCTTCACCGAGATCCCTCCAACAGTAACGTTTTGTTACATTGACTGTCTTGCTCTCTTTCTCTTCCTGGACTATTGAAAATTATAGACACCCACCGCCTGGCCTCCTGACACCTCAGCAGGTGTCTGCTAAGAGCCAGCACCCTCGCCCATATCCCCACGGCGGCACATCACCCCACGAGAAGCAGCGAAGACACGGCATCATCGAACCTGTGGTTTCTATATTTGAGTGCCACCCACCATCCCCATCACAGTCTTTCTGTCTTTCTAGTCCTCTTCCCTTGACCCAGGATCTAGTCAAGCATCACACAGGCAACATGACCTTGTAGGTGTTCGTGGTCAATGTTCACCTACTCCCCGTGTTTCCTGACCTTCCCAGTCTCTTGGGGGCAGCACGCCCAGGGGGGGCTGCCGGCAGCAGTTCTCAGCAGAGGGCCTTCGATGCCTCTATGTTCAGCCTCTGCCCATGAGGACCTGCCCTCCACAGGCTCTGCGCTGGGGCTGGCTGGGCAGCGGCAGGAGGAAGCCGCGATAATTGGGAAACTCGGAAAAGAGAAGCTGCCGCCGCGTGGACCCAGCCAGCTCCAGGGGCCGTGAGCGCAGCTGGAGCCTCCCCCGCCTGTTAGTTAGAGACAAAATGCGCCTGCCAGCCTGAGCAAGGCCTGGCCTGCGGAGCGGGGCTGCCCGTGCTCCCCAGTGCTTTGCACCCGCGTGCAGCAGGCCGCCGCCTGGCGTCCTCAGAGAGGAGCCTGCTGGGCGCTCGCTGAAAACAGGAACCTGCCCCTCCGCGGGGCCCGCGCCTCCTCGTTCTCGCAGAGGAAGTGTGTGGCATGTTTAGCAACTGCTGCTCTTCTCGATAGCATGGGCTTGTCTCTACCCCGCGGAGGCCCGGCCGCCCGCTCACTCTGCGGGAGCAGCAGCGGCTGACGGAGAGGCCGTGACGGGGACCCTCGCCAGCTACTCCCCAGGGCCACCATGTCCAGCCTTTGAAGGTATCTTGGGGGACGTGGTGGGGACCAGGTGAGGGGAGGGGAGCATCAGGGCCCCTTAGGCGTGCAGCCGGCAGGGGGTGAGATCTTGGAGACAGAGAGTCGCTCTGTGGGAACAGGCAGGGCAGTGTTTCCAGTGAGGCCCACCTTCCAGCACGGCGCCCGGAACATCGAGGCTCTTGGGGAGGGTCTGGTGCATAGTTACAGGTGAGAAGGGCCGAGGGTGTGGGCCGGGCACCGTCCTCCAGAGGAGAGAGTGCTGCTCCAGGACTGCCTGGCACAGGCAGGCCTCCTCCCGCGGACTGCCGGGCTTGCTCTGGCCTCCCAGCAGCATGACCCTGGGCGAGTCACTGCAACCGCCCCAGGCCTTTATTTTCCCTCCTTAAAGTGAACATCCCGGGGCCAGGTCCCGCGGGCGCTGGGAAGGTGGCATGAGCTGGCATATGCAAAGCGCCCGGCCAGTGTAGACACAGAGCAGGGGCTCGGTAAA